AGCTATTAAGCCTGCCTAACTGAAATCGTTACCATATAAATAAAAGAGAATAATTAATGTGGTTCAGTGTTTGAAAGTTATCGTCAGCCTACATAGTTCATAAAATAATCAGAAGTACTTACGTTACGATTATCCACCTCTACACCTTAATGCCAAGTGGATAGTTGCATTCATTCCTTTCCTTATACCACTAAATTCCATTGTGTGTTCATCTACGAGCTGTTTACCTTGAAAAAGTAATCTCTGTGATGCCACAGCAATCTGACATCGTGTGAATATCATATGTTTAAGTTCTATTACGGTCGTGTCTGGATATACCTCAAACGTTAAAGATCTGCCCTGTAGATCCTTCACAAATATTTGAAACCTGAAATTTTAAGATATATTATATAGCGATCCAATTTATTAGACATTCTCCAGATCATTTGTTTATCCTTCTGCCATTAGGGCACTCAATGATGGTCTAATTTAGTTTTCCAATCTGACTTTTATACTTTGCATGAGCCAACTCAATTTTACTGTATTTCTGATAATAATAATAATAAAATAATAATAATAAAATAATAATAATAATAATACTAATAATAATAAAAATATTAATAATCATATTCATAATTGAATGAATGAATGAATTGGTTTTTTTTTTACAGTAAGTGTAGTAAAACCATGAACTAAATTTCGTACTTGCTATGGAATTTTCTTAAATGTACGTTGACAATTTCGTAAATACATTTTAATATAATAAAGAATATTGCATATTAACTATTTATATAAAAGCATATTAGCATTCTCAATAAGGTGGGTAATAATTGCAAACCACAACTTATATTTATTAAAGACAAATATTTGGATCAATGCTTACCACTTTATTTCCGTGCATCAAGATAACTACACAGGAATTGTCCCTACCTGAAAAAAAAAATCATAAGCAAACTTACCGGTTCTTTGGATTAGGACTTGGTTCAAATCCAAAGCTCATTTTTAAATTTGCTAACAGTTTTCAGGCTAGAAAAAATACTGCTTCGATTTGTATTGAATAATAAAATATATAGTCTCTAACGTTCAATTTATAGATTTAGATATTGCAAAATCCCTGTTATATTTTTACAGGCCTGAGTCATACAGTCGCATCGCGCATTAATATCAAGCAAGCGAGGCTAATGATGAAACAGATGAGATGAGATAGCATTTAATAATGGTTTACGTACAGTAATGTATGAGTCCTGGCATAGTTATAACAAATTGGATCAAATCATGGTATAACATGTTGGGGTTTGAAAGTATTTTCGTTATTTTCAGGCGCGTAACAGGGGTCTTGGGTCAGGAGGCA